ACACACACACACACACACACACACACACACACACACACACGCATTTTATTTATATATATTGAAAACAGAGACTCACCACTGGACAATATGGAGAGAGTGGAAAACTCAGTCTTAAATGAGATGTCTATTAGAATTCCACTTTGAGCTTGAGCTATGAGGAAGAGGAGGCAGAAAGAGTGTAAGTGCCAAAGGTGAAGAATGACTCCCATGGAAACAGCGTCTTCCAGACACAGTAGTGGTGACACACACATGAACTCACAGAACTTGTGGCAACATGCACAGGGCCTGCACAGGCTGAAGCTAGATAAGGTCCCAGCACTGAGAAGGGGATGTTAACACAGACACAGGCCCCCATCACTAACCAAGAGGCTATCGCTTGTAGACAGCTTCTTACAAGGAAAAATTAGGTTTTTTTTTCCAATGGAGTTTCACTGGGTATATCACCACACTTAAAGGGTGGGCCTTATGCCCAGAAGTATATGCCCAACACAAAATGAACTCAATGGAATTTTGTAGACGTTTTGTCTCATATTGGTTTTTTGGGGGGACTTTTTTTTATATTATTGGCCCTTTGCTTGTATATTACGGTTTCTAACTTTGTGCTTTATATATTTTGTTCTCTCTCTCTCTCCCCCCCCTCTGTCTGTCTGTCTGTCTGTCTCTCTCTCTCTGTCTTTCTTTTTCTCTCTGTTTATTCTTATGGGTTTTTATATTTTATTATAGTTTATTTGGTTTTCTGTGTTGTTATTGTTATTTTTTTGTTTTCTTGAGAGAAAGTGATATAAAGGACATGAAGACAGGTAAGTGGAAAGTGGAGGAGGATAGGGAGGATTTGGGGGAGGAGAAACTGATCAGAATATATTATATGAAAAAGTCTTACAATTAAAGAAATAATCTTTGTAGTCAAAACAGTAAAATTTAAACAAAGATACTTTACAAATAATACAAGTTAAGCAACCTTGAAATACAACTTATAGACTCCAGAGAGTGCAATGAACCAAAAACAGAGCTTAATTTTGGTATAACAATGCTTACCAATGGGAGATCGGGAATGGGGAGGAAATCCTGAGCATATGAGTAGTTAGCCTGTACACATTCCCTAAGGGGCGGGGTACACTCAGCACATTTGTCTCTTTACATCTTCCCTTCAGTTTGTTCATTGTACCTCTTGTGCATTTTAAGGACCATTAAGTGATAACATGAAAAGTAACAACCACCACAGAATGATAGACAACAAAAACTAAGAACATCAACAATCCCACAAAATCCCAAGTACACCACAACTAAGTAAAATGATAATCAATGAAGTAACAAATTTTAAAACCACACAGGTGAAAGCAAACTACTGCCGTGAATAGATTAAATGCTTTACCACTGTAAAGTTAAAAGAAGAATGTCTTACCTACATAAATAATTGCCTGAGCAGACATGTCTCCAAAGTAGTTTTATAAGGATACAAAAAGAGACTAAAAACAAATCAATATTTTTAGTTTTGGGGAAGCACAAATCTAAATACTTTTAAGACAGACTGAACAACTCTAAGGGGCATGCAACTAAGTGAAATAAACTTGTAAAATATCTTTCAAAAGAGCAATTGAGATACAATGGTCAAAATATCAAGTTTAGGACAATGTACAGTTAACTCTGTGTAAACAGTATTCTGAGGCTTTCTGATACTTTTTTGTTGTTTAGAATTTCATGTGTGGTTACTGTATTTACATCATGTGTACCCTTCCTCTGCCTCCCAACTCCTCTAATGCTCCACACACTCTCATAAAAACTCATGACATCCTCTACAGTTTTATAGAGGCTGAATATACTTAATAGTAATACCTGATCTCAAATATGTAATCTATGCACCACTCACTTGTTGCTCTGTTCTGGAATATAGATTAAGATCCATGAAGGAAGTTTTCTTGATGGCTCAGCTGGTCAGGTCCCCTTCAGGATTCTGCTGTGGCTTGGGGGTTTAATTCCATGTTGAACTGGAATGATTCACTTGAAAAAAAATCAGGAGAAATAGTTTATTTTAACAAACATTTTTTAGTTAGTTCCCATTACTAGGGAAGTCACAGTGGCAGGCAAGGGCTTGAGACAACTGATCTCATTGCATCCATGGCCAAGAAGCAGAGAGCTTGTCCATTTGTTTTCTACAGAGAGGAAGAAGGAGAGTATGGAGTTAGGTGGGCTAAAAGGTGAGGAGGGCTTTGTGGAAGTTGGGGGAGGGGAAACAATGATCAGAATATATTCAATGAAAAAATATTCTCAATATAAATAGCAGAGAGCAGTGAATGTATTTATACTGGTGCTCAGCCTGCCTTCATTTTTATATAATTTAGGGTCTCCTGCCCAGAGGATGTTCCTACCTACAATTAAGGTGGTTCTTCAAATATCAACTGACAAAACCAAGACAGGCCCTCACAGATAATTTCCAAAGGGCTTGCACCAAAATTATTTCAGATTCAGTCACGTTAATAATTAACACTGAAACATCATGATAAGCATACAGATGCATGTAATAGTTAATATAAAAATTATTTTTTAGAAAACACAATAATTTCCCTTTACAAACTTCTGAAAAGCAAAACATAGATTAAAGGTTTTCCTCAAGTCTTTAAATGATGCCAGTGTAACCTAATAACAAAACGCCACAAAGGTGGCAGAATATTAAAGACAAATATGACTTAAGAATACAGAACAGGGACCAGAGGTAAAGCTCAATAGTTAAGAGCTCTGTCTGCTCTTACAGAGAACCCAGGTTTGATTCCCAGACCCCACATGATAATTCACAAATGTCTATAACTCCAGGTCCAGGAGATCTCACACCATCTTCTGACCTCTGAAGGCACCAGACAGGTATTCAAAGACCTACATGCACATATTAAAAATAAGTTTTAAAATATGAAAGAAAACTTCTTCAAAAATATTATTTAAACAAAGACAACAAAAGAGGAGCAAGAGCAATCATAGGTGACTCACAAATATTCATTTACTATTTAAAAGATAGTTAATATGTTACACTATACACATGGAAAAATTATAAAAATTAAGTAGTTACCTATAAGGCAGAGGAAATATTTCACAAATCCAACACTTATTCACAATAAAATACTTGGAAAGTTAGAGAAAAGAATTTGTTAAACGAAATTAGTATCAGGAAACACACACACACACACAAACACACACACACACATACACACACACATACACACACACACACACACAC